CCCGAGACTGACCTAGACCGCTCTAAGACTTCACCCCAGAACCGACCAGAGAACCAAGATGATTCCTCGAGTCTCTTCGAGAGTGCTCAGAAAAAACCATCGCGCGCAAAGATCCCCAACTGGCCCCAAGAACGCTTTGGAAAGTACCCGACAGCCCCAGAGATCGTGTTGGGGGGCTGCGACGAGATTACGTTACATCTTCGAGGGGACCTTCCCTATCCCATGGCGCCAGCCATCCGGTCGATCCACGTCGGATTCGTGTCGGAGACACGTCGGATGGAAGAAAATACGGCAATTCGCCGGACAGACAAGGTTCCCCCGAGGATGCAACTTAAAAAGGCCCTGAAGAAGCCCCAAAAAACGATGTCGGAAAAGCCCCAGACGAGGTAACACAACACAAGCCCCAGACGAGGTATCACAACAACTATGCAAGGATACGGCCCCGCCACGCCACAGAACGGCAGCGATGCCACCCGGGCGGCCCCGAGTTGTGCTCGACCAAGCCTGTTCGGGAGAGACCGACATGTTTAGAGGCCTCGCACATGGGGTCCGAGCAAGTGGGGTTGGGGGATCGCGCCGCATGGGTGACGCATAGGCGACGCATCGGTGATGCATCGCTGGCGTCGGCGATGCATCGCCGACGCCGTCGTGAAGGAAATCGGGCTCCGCATCGAGCCGCATCGCCGATGCATCGGCGATGCGGGGCGATCAACCGACCCCATCTACTCAGACACCATCTGGGAGGCCTCGAGACCCTGAGTCTTCATGCTACGCCGTCACGGTGACGCGTGCCTTCCCGCTAGTGGCATCCAAGAGGCCAGGCGGGGGCCTCCGGAAAAACCGGACCTGACCAGAAAGGCAGACGGGGCACAGCGGCGGCAGCAAAGCGGGGCGCATTTGAGGCGACGACTGGCAGCGAGTCGGCAAGAATCGGACGGGATGCGTAATGGCTAGGGAACCCACCATGGACGTTCGCGCCCAACCGTGTACATGAACACGGCCCCAAATCCGTAAGATCGGCCGCGTGAAACGAACATTCGAAACCAATGTGGATTCATGTGTGTACATCCTTCTTTTTTGTTCCTGTCTGGCCGCCCATGTCCTCACCCTGCGCAGGCCAGGGTCCCCTGCGGTTCAGGGACGCAGCCTTTATACATATATAGACAAATATATATATACACATATATATGTGTGTGTGTTCCTCTCGGCAGGCGGACGGGAGTTTCCCTGCTCCTGCGTCAGAGAGACAGGCGGTGTTTTTTTGGTTAGGGAGGCCGCCACACAGCCAAGGCCGGCGAGAAAGAGAGCAGGGGTAATGCACGATGCGCGCCCGGGCCCCTGAACTACACTATTGTTTCTTCGCTTTCTCTGAAACTCTCCGCCTGGGTTTTCGGACGATGCCACATGGAAACCAAGCGAACACACACATATATATATATATATATATATATATATATATATATGGATAATTATATATATATATATACCTCTATCTATCTTTAAATACACATATACGAGACTGCAGTGGCGGTTCGCGCCATGCACCTTGGTCCTTCGAGTTTCGCACGCGGGCAGCGTGCGTGCGCGTGCACATGCGCGCATTGAGACGTGCATACAGATCATACGCGCGCACGTGCATGAACGCCATACATATATAGACATATCGGTGTGTCTATGTTAACGTGTGTAGATATATTGTCGTACGTGTACATGTGCATGTATATATCGGTCCGTGCTTGCGCATACATATGTGTCATGTGTACTTGGGCAGATCTATATGTACACATATGCATGTCTATATGCATGTACGTGGTCGTGGCCACTGAAGAGGATCCAGAAACGCAGTGAAGGGCTCGCGAGTGCCGAAAGACTTGGGTAAAAGACGGCATGGACGACACGGCAGAATATGGAACGGCGACCTGGGCTCATCATTGACCGTGTCTTTGGGAGTATGGAACGGTCCGTCTGAAGGCCCTGGGGGGCCTCGGGACCGTGTCGCAGCGGGGCTCGACTATCTCGACGCTGAAGTTGTTTTGAGCCGCCGCACGCTCGTGGAAGGCTTCGCGTTCATAGTGTTAACGTCACGTGGACCTTATTGGAGCCATCCAGAGACGTGGTGCAATCCCGTTGTGGCTTGGGCCCATCTTGGGGCGCGTTGTTGGCTCTGTTCAACAAGACCCCAAGACAGCCCAACTGTTGGGCTGTCTTGGGGTCATGTTCGGGCTCCTGGCCCGTTTCGGGCCTGTCTTGGTGGCCTTTTCGTGCGTTTTTGAACTTCTGTGAGGTCCTTGCGGGCGGGATCTTTTGGAACTCTTGGGGGGGCTCTCGGAGCTTCCTGAGGGTCTCTCGGGGGCCTCTTAGGGGCCTCTTCGGGGCCTCTTGGTAACCTCCTAGGGCCTCCTGGGGCCCTGTCGGGACTGTCTAGAGGCCCCCTTGGGCCGGTTCGGGGCCCTCTTGAGCCGCCCTCCTGGAGGTCTGTCGGGCCGTCTGAAGGCGATTTGGGGGGCCTCGTGGGCCGTCTTGGTGCGTCGGAAAACCGTAAAGGGGAGAACTCCAAAATCCTTCACTGCGGACAATCAATGAATCACTAAAGTTTGCCTCGTGGGGTTCTCTTGGAAGTGCTCTCGGAGGCCTTTGGAGACGTCTTGGAGCGATCTCGAACTTCTGTGGGGTCCTTGCGGGATCTTTTAGGACTCTTGGGAACCTCTCGGGGCTTCCTGGGGGCCTCTTGGGGGCCTCTTGGGAACTCTTCAAGGCTTCTTGGGAGCCTCCTGGAGCCTCCTGGGGCCCTGTCCGGACTGTCTCGGGACTGTATCGGGGCCCTCTTGGGTCGGATTGGAGCCCTCTTGGAGGGCTGTCGGGTCATCTCATGGCGATCTTGGGGGCCTCGTGGGCCGTCGTGGAGCGTCGGGAAGCCGAACAAGGGAGAAATCAAACATCTCCCGCAAATCAATAAAACAAGCATTGTAGTTTGCATATTGGGGCCCTCTCGGGAGGGCTCCTGGAGGCCTCTTGGGTTTGGGGGCATGACGGCTCCTTTGGGGTCGTCGTCGTCCGCGTCGGGGCTCTCTGCGGTCGCTTCGGTAGCGCAACAGAACGTCGGGGGTCCTCTGGGGCCGCCTTCGGGCTCTGGTGAGATCCTCCCAGGTCGTCTGGGGGGCTGCTCAAAAGGCCAGGAGTGGGCCAAATTCGATAGGTGTGGGGGGGGGGCGTTTTTTATATGTTGTCTGGGGTCCCCGGCCTTCTGAAAGTATATGAATCGGAATGCGAACACATCTGTATATATATATATATACACATACATACCTACATACATACATACATACATACATACATACATCCATACATACATACATACATGCATGCATGCATGCATGCATACATACATACATACATACAGTTATACATACATACATACATACATACATACGTACGTACGTACATACATACATCCATACATACAGATAGACATACATACATCAATACATACATACATACATATATATATACATACATACATACATACATACATACACACACATACACACATACACACCTACATACCTACATACATACATACATACATACATACATACACACATACACACATACATACATACATACATACATACATATATCCATACATACATACATACATACATACATACATACATACATACATACGTACACACACACTATAACCACGCGCGCGCTTCGCGCGCGCTTAGGTTCTAGCAGGCCCCTGGCCTTGACGAATTCACTGCTCCACTGAAGTAGTGGACCACAGATGGTTTGAACGGGAAGTGAAGAAGTGCCCAGAACGCTGAACGCATTATGGGCAGTGAGAAGCCATGCAAGTCAATACGTATTCCGGAAGGTTGTCGGGGAAGATGGTTGCGTAGGGGGACGGAGACCTGATGAATCGGGTTCCCAGAAGGGCCCTTTGGGCACATGGTTTTTGGGGGCGTCTTGGGGAGTATGTTGAGGCGTGCCGTCGTCGTCGTCGTAATGTCGTCGTCGTGATGGTACTTGGAGACTCTGGAGACTCTGGGGCCCATAATGAACCATGTCCTCGGAAGGCTTTCTGGGGACATGATTTGTTGGGGTGTGTTTGGGGGCTTCTTGGGCGTTCCCTGAGGGCCTCTTGGGGCATCCTGGGGGCCTCTTGGGGGCCTCACGCGGCTTCTTGGGAGCCTCTTGGTGGCCTCTGGGTGTGGGGGCCTCTAGGGCCAGAGACCTCGAAATATCGGTTCGTGGTCCCCCTCTGGGCCCCTCTTGGGGCGTTTTTGGGGCACGCTTGGGTTGTCTGGGGAGCCTCCTGGGCTGTCTTGGGGCCCTCTTCGGGGCCTCGTGGGCCGTCTTGGAGCGATCTGAAGGGCCTCCGCGGCCGTGAGGGAGCGCTGGGAAGTGGGAAAAGCGAAAACGCCCAAATCCTCAAAAAACCCAGAGGACACAAATCAATTGTTCCTCCCAGGGCCCTCCCCGGGAGCCTCTTGAGGCCGTTCTGGAGCATGTTAGAGTCCTCGTCGGCCGTCTTGGGGGGCATCTTGGGCGTCTTCGGGGCTTCTTGGGACCGTCTTGGGCTGGTACAGGCACCAGCCCGCCCCCCCCCCGGCCCACTCCGATAAATATAATACAATATACACACAGTGAGCATATATATATATATATATATATATATATGTACACATCCATACATACATACATATATACATACATACATACATTCATACATACATACATACATACATACATACATACATACATACATACATACATACATACACACATACATACATACATACATACATACATACATACATACAAACATACATACATACATACATACATACATCTGTGCATGTATGTTAAAGGGGCATGCTGTTCAGAAAGACATCGGCTGGCGCCTGGAAAATGCCTCCACACAAGTCCGAGGGCTCTGGTTGCGCCTAGAAGCACCTTTTGAAGCAAGTGCTGCAGCAAGCGACAATGGTTTAACGCTAGCAGAGCCAATCTAACTGCAGCCAGTCGTAACAACTGCCGAGACGGCAGTGTTGCGTGTTGTGGCGAACCATGCCTGCCACACGCTCCAAACACTGAGGCACCCACGCTGAATGTGCTATGAATTGTGGCGAACCATGCCTGCCACACGCTCCACGTGCAGGGCTTGCGATGCTGGATGGTCCAAGGCCCCGCCCTTCCCATTGAGAGCGCGAGGGCGACGCGTCCGAAATCGGATATCAACTGAGCGAAGGCATGCCGCTGGTTTACCCCAAGGGGTTAGGGTGGGGTTCTGACCCCCCCCTCCCTTCACCCCCTTCCGCAGTCCTTTGTCCCGGAACCCTTCCCTTTTCCCCGCTGGCCGATTTATCGTTCAGGACCCACCGCTCCCCCATTGGCCGACAGGGAAGGGGCTTAACACTCCGCCCACCTTCCCCCCCCGGTCCGTCGTCCTGAAACCCGCACCCTCCCCTTTCCACGAAAAGGTGAGGTGTTCAACCTCTCAACCTCTCCCCTCTCACGCTTTTGCTCTTGAGCACTGTCCCTGCCCCACACACATTCACACTGCCGCCCGATCGCTTACCCTTGCGCCCGAAACCTAACCCCGAAGCCTTGCACCATCCTCCACCCGAACCCGAATCCCTAACGCTGTCCCCTCGCCCCAAATGAACCTTCAAATCCGAACCCCATCCCGTATAACCAAACCCCTGGCACCATCACAAAAATCCGAACATCCACCCAAATTCTTACGAAACCCCTCACCCCCCTTCACCGCAAGCCCTAATCCAGCGACCTGTGAATCTCTAATCTAGCAGAAGTCCGAGGCCTAATCCATCATAATACACCCTAACCCCAATCCAGAGCCCCGAAACCTGAACAATAACTCTCGCCCAACACAACGCCCAGAACGTCATGATAACGTTGGGCCCAAACGCTGTGTCTAGAAGTATCGGTTGCGCAACCTGGGTGGCGCCATCTGTGTGGTGCAACCTACGTGGTGCAATATGCTGTCCATTCATGTCGTGCATTCCAGGTTGTGCGATATGGTTTGTGCTATATGTATTGAGATGCCCATCTGGCGCAGTCCAGGTGGTGCAACACACGTGGTGCAATGTACAATGTGCAATTTACGGTGTGCAAAATAGATGGGTGCGAATTATGTGGTGTATCACTTGTGGTGCGCTAGGTGGTGCTGTTTACGTGGTGCAATCTGCACGGTTCAGCCTACGTCATCATGACGTTGGCGGTATCGTGGCAACGTCGAGAACGGTAGGCACGATGATGATAGCGGCGATGCGGGTGACGATGATGACGACGACGACGGCACGGCCAATGACGGTGCCGATGCTGATCATGCCGACAACGTCCTCGCGCTGGTGAATTAAAGTTTTGAAACGAGTTCGGCCTGCCCTCGCGGCCGGCGCGCGGATGTGGCCCGCAAGGTATGCTTTGACACGGGTCGTGCCCCCCCCCAGCACGCGCGCAAGGGCGTTCGAATGATTTCGACATGCGGCGCGAAAGGCCCGCTTCGCAGAATTCGACGAACATGCTGAAAACCTAAGTTTTTTTGTCAAGCATTAGCAGATGCGCGAGCGAAGGCATTGTTTCTTGGAAACCTGGGTTTGCAAAACCATATGTTTACATGCATTCTCGGGGCACTCGATTTTGAAAGTCCTGCGAAACCGAAGGTTTTTGACGGATATCTGTAAGCGCGCGACGACGCGCGAGTGTGCACTTCGCCTTGTCCTTTTACAAGGGGTTCTTGCGACAACACGCGCCCAAAGGCGTTCGAACGATCGATTTCGACATGCGCGCGCGACAGGCCCGCGTCGTAGCGTGTTAGGAACATGTTGAAGAACTTGTGGTTTTCTGGTTGCCGAATTTGTGCAGGTTTGTTTTGAAAAATCTTGCGGGGCAGCCGTTGGTTTCTACATGTCTTCGGAACACTCGGCTTTGACATTCTTGCGAAGCCCATGGTTTTTGAAGGATTTCGGCATGCGCGCGCAACGGCGCGCGCGTGCACTTTGTCAAATTTGTTGCAAGAGTGCTTTGGAAACTGAAGGTTTTTGTTAAACGAGCGAACGCGGATTGGAACTGCTTCACAAGATGGGGGGGCCGTTACCACATTGGCTGCGGTGATACGAACTCCTATTTAGATTGGGCAATGGGGCAAACGCATCTGTGAATTTGAAAATGAAAGAGGGATCCGTCAACGCGGGGGGGGGGATCATAATATGCTTTGTGTGAAAAACTAAGGTCATCGTGGTGCAATCTGCGTGGCGCAATCTATGTTTTGCAAGCTAAGTGGTGCAATGAAGTTCGACTTCCTCGCGCGCGACCCCCTCCAATGCCCGCGCAATCACCCCACCCGCCCGCCCCCAACTTGGTTTGCAAAACCCTTGCGGCAACGATTGCGACGGCTGCTTGGCGCTGGCTGGTGCATCGCTGCGGCCGCATTTGCGCGCGCATGCTCGCGCGCAGGGCGGTCAACTACAGTAGTCTGGCGCAGACGACGCGGCCGCGGTGGCGCTGACCGCTGCTTCCCACCGCGCGTCTCGCAGGCCGCTGTGACGCGCGGGCACGCCGGTGCGAATCGATGACTCGGGCGGGCGCGGTGTTATGGCGACGTCGACAACAGCAAACACGATGATGATGGTAGCGATGCTGGTGGCGATGGTGACGATGACGACGCCAAGGGCAAATGACAGCGCCGTTGCTGATCACGCCGGTGACGAAGATTGTGTCCTCGCGTCGGTGATGCGGCATGCACGCGCGGCCAACGCACTCGAGTGGGCAAAAACATTCCTTTGACAGGGATCATGCCCCCCCCCAACACGCGCGCAAGGGCGTCCAAATGATTTCGGCATGCGAGGGAAGGCACGTTTTGTAGCATTTGATGAACATATGGGGAACTCGCTTTCGTACGAAGTCACAGGAGCGCGAGCGCAGTTTTTTTTTGTTTTGATTATTGAAACTTCCCGAAGAGAAAAACATTCGTATTTATATGTTTTCCTAAACCCAAGATGTTTGAAAGATTTCGGCATGCGCGAGCCACGACGCGCGCGTGCACGCCGTCCGTTTCTTTGCACAAGACTATTGCGACAATGCGTCCGCAAGGGCGTTCGAATATTTCCGACATGCGCGCGAGGGGCACGCTTGGTCGCATCTGATGAACTTGTTGAAGTCAATGTCTAAAGAACTCGCTAGAGCGTGAGCGCAGGCTGTTGTTGAAGCTTGCTGGTGCGGAACTCTTGATGTTGTACATGTGTTCCCCACATTATGAGTGGGTTTCTTGTTTCCTCTGGTCACCCCGCGCAGAAACAATAACAGGCCCACATCATCACCAGCATCATCGTGATCACCATCATCACCAGAATCATTGCCATAAACCGTATCTAACCATTACCATGACCACATCAGGTTCTAACATCACCACCACCATCAGCGCAGCACCATCATCATCATCATCATCATCATCATCATCATCATCATCATCATCATCATCATCATCACTCGCACAGTGACACACTCACGCACTCCTCATCTTCCTCATCCTCCTCCTCGTCCTCCTCCTCCTCTCCCTCCTCATGCGCCAGTCCTCCCCTTTCATCAGCAATGTCATCGCCACGACTCCCTCCCCATGGAGTCCCCACTCCAGGTTGCCAATCAAATCGGGTCAGCCGATCCAAGCGGGGGCCGCGTCAAGTGAGTGAGCCCTCTCCCGAAAAGTTTCAGGCGGGAGCCTACTCCCTATGGCGCCCGCGCCTCATGTTGTAAATTCAACCGGGTCATTGGAATCTTATACCAGGCCTAGCACTTGCGCGCCCTCGGGGGGTAAATCCTGAGGGTGTCTCGAGCGGAAGCCTCGCCGACGAGTGACTCGCGAGGATATCTCAAGCGGAAGACCCCTACCTACGGGGCACGCGCTTCATCTGCGGGTCATCGGAGTAAGTCTACCAGGCGTACCATTTCACCACCAGAAAGAGGCCGATCGTGAGAATGCCTCAAGTGGGGGCCTCGTCTGTGAGTCAGTTGCGAGACAGACTCAGCAATGAAACCCCTCCCTATGGGGCCCCCACGTCAGGATGACAGCTCGAGCGAGTCACCTGCACATTCTACCAGACATAGCACTTGATCACCACAACGAATCAAATCGTGAGGATGTCTCGAGAGGGGGCATCGGCTGTGAATGACTTGCGACGGAGTCTCAAGCGTAAGCCCCCTCCCGCCGGCCTCGCATTTCATGTTGGCAGTTCGAACGGGTCATGGGAATACTCGACCAAAGATAACACGTGAGGATCTCTCGAGCGGGAGCCTCGTCCGTGAGTGGATTGCGGAGAAGTCTCAGGAGGGAGCCCCCTCCCTATGGTGCCCGCGCTTGGCGTTGGCAGTTTTAGCGGGCCATCGGAATGCTGATCAGGCATCGCGCTTGAGCACCCCATAAGGGGTAAATCGCGAGAGTGTCTCAAGCGGGGGCCTCGTTTTAGAGTAAATTGCGAGGCTATCTCAAACGGGAACCTCCTACGTATAGGGCCCGCGCTTCGTGTTGGCAATTCGAGCGCATCATCTGATTATTTTAAGAGGCATAACGATTGAGCGCCCCAAAAGAAGCAAATCGTGCGCATGTCTCGAGAGATGAAGTCTCAGGCAAGAGCCCCCTCCCTATGGCGCCCGTGCCTCATGTGGGTAATTTGACCTGGTCGCAAGCGTATTCTGCCAATCGTAGCACTTGCGCACCCTGAGGGCGCAAATCGTGAGGATGTCCCGAGCGGAGGCCTCGCTGGCGAGTGAGTTGCGAAGGTATCTCAGGCAGAAACCACTACCTACGGGGCCCGCGATTCACTTTGGTCATTCGAGCGGGTCATCCGAATATTCTACCAAACGTACATTTGACCACCACAAAAGGGCCGGTCGTGCGAATGCCTCGAACGCGGGCCCCGTCTGCGAGTCAATGGCGAGGGAGTCTCAGGAAGGACCCCCCTCCCTATGGGGCCTCCACGTCAGGATGGCAGCTCGAGCGGGTCACCTGATCATTCTACCAGGCATAGCACGTGATCACCACAAGGAGGCAAATCGTGAGGATGTCTCGAGCGGGGGCCGCGTCCAAGCGGGCGCCGTGTCCAAGCGAGGGCCGCGTTTGGTGAGTGGGCCCTCCCCCAAAAAGTTTCAGGCGGGAGCCCCCTCCCTACGGCGCCCGCGCTTCAAGTGGGCAAGCCGACCGGGCCGTTGGAATATTCCACCAGGCGTTTCACCTGAGCACCACATGAGGGCATATCGCGACCATGTCTCGAACGGCGGGCCTCATTTGCGAGTGACTTGCGAGGATATTTCAAGTTGGAGCCTCCTACCTACGGGGCCCGCAGCTCATCTTGGTCATTCGAGCGGGCCATCGGGATTTCCGACCAAACTTAGCATTTGAGCACTTCAAGGAAGCAAATCATGAAGATCGTTCGACCGGGGGGGCCCCTCCCAATGGGACCTGCACTCCATGTTAGCAATCTGGGCGGGTCATCGGAATACTTTACTTATCAGAAACAGGGGGCCGAACGGTCATTCATTGTCCCTGGGCGCGTGGCTGAATAGGAAACTCGTGGTGGGAATTATGTTTGTTCAATATTGTTGTTGTTGGTGTTGTTGCTGTTATTGTTGTTGTTCTTGTTGTTGTTGGTGGTGGTGTTGTTGTTGTGGTTGTTGTTGTTTGTTGTCGTCGTCCCACCCCGCGACCGACCCCGCGCCCCACCCCGCGACCGACCCCGCGCCCCACTCCGCGACCCACCCCGCGACCCACCCCGCGACCCACCCGCGACCCACCCGCGACCCACCCGCGACCCACTCCGAGACCCACCCCGCGACACACCCCGCGACCCACTCCGAGACCCACCCGCGACCCACCCCGCGACCCACACGCGACCCACACCGCGACCCACCATCCAGGGAGGAAAAACCATCCGGACCCGACGATTGCCGTTTATTAAACGTCCTTGGGCGTTCACTAAACAGCCTTGCGCTGTTCGATCCATTCTTTGTGTGCGTTTACTAAGCGGTTTCGCCTGTCAGGGTGATTATTATGGGGTGGGTTTTCTGCCCTCTACACCCGCGACCCACCCGCGACCTGCCAACATTGGTTTGACGAAGAAAGTAAGCGCCTGCGGCTGGCTCGTTACATAAATGGTGAAACGTTGGCACTTGCGTCGGGCTTCTCCAAAGCCTCGCAAACTGCCGACCACACACATCACTCCTATCGCATCTGCGGGGTGCTACGTGGCAACTGAACACCCAGAGGGGGCAAATCGTCATGATGTCTCAAGCGCGGGGGCCTCGTCTGCGAGTGATTCGAGGATGTCTCAGGCGGCCCCCCCCCTCCTTAATGATCCCGCACTTCATGCTGGTAAGACGAACGGGAGACTCGTATAAAGGGGTGGTTTGTGAGGAAGTCCCAGGCGGGAGACCCCTTCCATGTCGGGCCGCCAGGTCATGTTAGCAATCGGAACGGGCCATCGAAATCCTGTACGTGTCACCCAAATCCCGTATGTGCAGGGGTTGTCCCGGCGGCTCAATGTGGCGCCCCAGCGGCCCGCGGAAATTTTCTCAGTGACCTGGCCCACGAGGTTGGCCCAACGGCTTCGTGATCTGGCTGCCGGAATACGCGCCCAAGTCATCCGCGGCGGTGACGGCGCCGACAAAAATCTAGATTCGCTTCCGTGAAAAAGGGGTGCGGGGAAGGAGGTGCACGAGGAAACAGGACGGGAAGGAGGCGGATGAGGAGGAGGAGGAGGAGGAGGAGGAGGAGAACGAGGTAGGGGGAGGAATAAAAAGGAAAACGGGGGAAAAAGGTGAATGACGAGGAGACGGAAGATGAGAAAGAGGAGGCGGAGGAGGAAGAGGAAAACGAAGAGCAGGAGGAGGCCGAGCGAAAAGCGGAAGGTCTCCGCCAGAAATATGAGGAAAGGGAGACAGGAAGAGGGCCGCCAATATCACGAGGACGACAACGAGGGCCACTCCAAAACCGCTCGAGATAGGAAGGTTTTCGTGTGGGGCCTTACCGTTTGCATTTTGTCCCACTTCTGCCACGGACTGTTGAAAACAGTTGTTGCAGTCGAGCAATGCGCGCGCAAAATAACGCTGGCAAAAAATGAAAAAGGGGGGTCGATGCCGGCTTGACCGGGACTGTACGAGACCAGGTTTGCAATGAACAACGGGGCCGGATCATATGTGAACAACACATCCAGAAATAAAGGCGATGATGCTGGGGCGGGCTCGGGTAATCTATGTGGTGCCAACGGCGTGTTGAAATTGATGCGGCGCAGTTAAACATTAAAAACCACTTGGCACATCCTATGCCATCGTCCCACACACCCAACCGCAACTTGGTTTGCAAAACCCATGCGGTGGCAATTGCAATGTATGCTTGGCGTTGGCTGGTGCATCTCTGCGGCCGCGCCAACCCTAGCACGCGCGCGCAGCGGCCAGCTAGTTTGGCGTCACCGACGCGGCCGCGGTGGCGCTGACCGCTGGTCGCATCCCAACGGGCATTACACTGCGAGTCGTCCGCTTGGGCGAACGCGGTATCATGGCAACGCCGACAACGGTGGACACGACGATGATAGTGGCGATGCTGGTGACGATGTTCGCACCGACGAAGGCGCGGCCAGTGTGGGCGCCAATGCTGATCACGCCAGCGACGATGACGGCGTCCTCGCGACGGCGATGAGCGCGCGGCCGGCGCGCGAGTGGCCTGCATGTTTTGTTGACGCGGCACGCGCGCACGGGCGTGCGAATGATGTCGGCATGCGGCGCCAGAGGCCCGTTTGGCAGAATGCCATGAGGATGCTGAACAATCTCTGGTTTCCTCAAGGATTTGCAAAATCGCGCGCAAGCGCTGTTTGAAAACGGATGCTGCGACACCATGTGTTTGGAATGTTCCTAGGACGTTCGGTGTAAAACGTTCGGTTCCGAAGCCGTTCGGCATGCGCGCGCGACGACGCGCGCGCGCACTTCGCCACATTTTCTTGCAAAGGGTTCACGCGACGGGACGCGCGCAAGGGCGTTCGAACGATTTCGACATGCGCGCGCGAAGCCCGCTTGATCGTATGCTCTGATTTTTTTTTTTTTTTTTTTTTTTTTTTTTTTTTTTTTTTTTTTTTTTTTTTTTTTTTAAAAAAAAAAAAAAAAAAAAAAAAAAAAAAAAAAAAAAAAAAAAAAAAAACATACGGTGTTCTAAACAATTCGCAAAAACGCGCACGATTGTTGTGCGACGGCACTTGCGATGAGTGCATAGCGTTAGCGTTGGGTAGCGCATCTCGGCGGCAGCGCAAGCCTGCTCCTGCTCGCGCGCGCAGCGGCCAGCCAGCGCGACGCGACCGCAGCGGTCGCGGGGGCGCGCACCGCTGGGCACCTTCCCAGCGGCCACGCAAGTGCGAGACGGTGAATTGTAGGGGGAAAACAAACCTACCTCGCTTTTGACCACCCTCGCTTCCAAGAGATACCAAACGATGCCAAATTGCAGCCTGTACTGGTCAGGCCACTTGACGAGGACGCGCGTGGTATGGCTTGGTTTTGCCTGGAAGCGAAAGCGGGGTAGGTAATTCACGCTCTGAAATTGGGCGGGCGAGGAATCATGGCGACGCCGACGTCGGTCGACACTATGACGAAAGTCGCGACAGTGGTGACGATGGTGGCGATGACGACGGCGACGCCGACGACGGCGCCGAGTGTGGATCACGCCCGCCGGTCGAGATGACGATGTCCTCGCGTCGGTGATGAAGGTTTTGGAAGGAGTTCGACATGAGCGCGCGGCCGACGCGCGCGAGTGGCCCGCGTGGTCAGATCGAGGGGGCCGAGCGGTCATTCATTGTCCCTGGCTGCGTGGCTGAAGTGGGGACCCCTGGTGGGGATTATGCGTGTTGCGTCGTTGCGTTGTTGTTGTTGTTGTTGTTGATGCTGTTGTTGTTGTTTGCTGGTCTGTTGTCGTCGTCCCACCCACGACCCACCCGCGACACACCCCGCGACCCACCCTGCGACCCATCCCGCGACCCACCCCGCGACCCACCCCGCGCCCCACTCCGCGACCCACCCCGCGACCCACCTGCGACCCACCCCCGACCCACCCGCGACCCACCCGCGACCCACCCGCGACCCGCCCCACGAACCACCCGCGACCCACCCCGCGACATATCCGCGACGCACCCGCGAACCACACGGCGACCCGCCCCGGGAACCACCCCGTGACCCAGTCGCGACCCAATCGCGACCCAATCGCGACCCATTCGCGGTCCACCCGCGACCCACCCGCGACCTGCCCAAGCATCAGCGGTAACCTCTGACACTTAGCCTAAAATGTAAGCATCACATTGACGCCCGCTCGCATGAAGGTGTGTCCCACGGAACACATATCACTGTCTCTCTCTCTCTCTCTCTCTTCACTCTTTTGATCGCCCTCTGCCGTGTTTCTTGTATTTTCCCTCTCTCTCACTTTCTCCCTCGCTCCCGTTTCTCGCCTTCTGCCTGTCTCTCTCTCTCTCTCTCTCTCACTATGTTGTTTTCTCTTTGTCCATTGTTCCCGTCCTCTGCTGCTTCGCATCCCCCCGTCCCCTGATGCTCCGCATTCCCCTCCTCGGCCTCGCGGACGCGGGGCTCTGGCATCCCCGTCGTCCTCTATCTGAACACGCTCCCCCACCCCCCCTTTGTCGCCCGAGCCGGCGTCAACCTGCCCGCGCATGCAAAATACGTCCAGGAGGAGGAGGAGGAGGAGGAGGAGGAGGAGGAGGAGGAGGAGGAGGGGTCGGGCATACCTAGAGTCGCCATATTGTTCCAGATTGTTGTAGTTTCCCACGCGGTCGGCGCTGGTTCCCAAGCGCCGAATGCTTTACAATTTGGGCGGGGCGTCTCGGAGGGGTGGCCAAACGCGAGGTGCACCGGCGTGTCGTGCTCTGCCAGAGGGATCGTCTGTGAAGCGCGCAGCGCGCATCGGGCTGCAGCACGCTGGACCGCAAACGCACGATGTCAAACGGCGGTACGAAAATTCAGGATGTGCGCAGCGGACGAGAAAGATGCGGTCAACATGTGCTGGATGTCGAACTGCCTGGACTGCCCAACTGGGGAACGCAACGATTCTGTTGGTTGCAACTTGGTCTCCTATGTTCAGCTGTGTCGAATTCCAAAACGCCCACCCCTCTGGGCCTCGTGCTATCCGTGCATGCGGCTCTGGCGAGCTTAGAAGCCCGCAAAAGGGAAGAGGAGGCAGGCCAGAGAACGAAGGGATACGGTAGGGGGCGGAGAAGGTGTTTCCGTATCTCCCTCCCCTTCCCCTGAAGTTTCCCCACGTCGTCGTCTACGTCTTTATCGTCGTTCTTGGTGGTTGACTTTTCGGCCACTGCAGCTACAACACCTGGCACGCTTGTCCACCAACACCACCTTGTCACGCGCCGGCGCCGATGCTCGCGGGAACGGCGGCTTGGGCATACCCCCATTCATCCGGGATATCTAAGACATTCCGGGCGCTGTCGGCGCATTCGATTTGAGAGCAGTGGCCGCTAGGCGCGCGCGTCGCACGCGGGACATGGATGCAACGACCGTTGATGCAGGCGAGCCAAGAATACAAGACCCACCAATGCAGTCCTGAGAATGTGAAGCAAGGTGCGTTGTAGACAAACAGACAAGGGAGTAGCGGTCTACCCAGAAAGCGCTGTCGATACCGATGTTGGCAACTGCTCGTGGACGCTTCGGTAAACAAGGAGTCAAGTGTCATATGTTCAATTGCGTCCCTCAGGAAAAACAGACCATGGATATTTGCACTGGTTCGTTATTTGGGTTTGGTGTGCCAATGATCTGCCCTACTGGGTTGCCCCCCTTTGACGCTGACTTCCGCTAATTCAGATATTGGCCGTTGCTGGTAGCATTTGCCGCTGCAGCTCGATCTCCCCATTCGCATCCGATCTACCCCAACCACGAGCCACCTCTCCGATCAGCTCTGCTCCTATCCTCCCGCGCTCTCCACCTCCCCCATCCTCCCCACGCCCCCACTCTCTGTTTCCCTCTGTCCCCGCCCCCCACGCCCCTCCCTGCAACTCCATAACTTCATCCCTCTGAACACTACGCTCCGCCATTCCCTGACTCTGTCCGGAAGATGTCTCCCCCTCTCCGCGTATTTTTTACGGGCGGGACTGGACGCCATGTGCAGTGGAGAAACCCAATCCTGAGACCTCAGGACGTCCATTGATTTCTGGTGTGGGAACGCCACGCTTGCCATGGCAAAACCATCGCAACCCAAGAAACCCCAGGCACCTTGGAGGCAAGCAAGGTGCTTCTTGGCATGGGTCTCCACTGTATCTTGTACGGCATGCTTGCCGTCCGACGGCCTTCTGCGCGTCATACCGGTGTTCCCGCTGCAGCGCGGGCTCAGGAGCGGCGCTTTGCTCTCCCATCGTTCCGAGTGGCTGTCTCTTGGTCCAGCTGAGGCAACGTTTCTGGATCCCTGCTTCCATCGTTGTCGCCCCTCGTTTTCCCTCCACCGCCGTCCCCCGGCCCTCCTGCTCCTCCCGCCCCAACTCGTGCTGCTGCTGTTCGTCCTGGTCCTCCCCCTTCTTCGGCCGCATGTTTTTCCTCTCCTGACCATCCTCCTCGTCATCCGTCACCTTCCCCTTCAGTGTACGCAGCTCCATTCTTTCGGATAGCGCATATACCGACGGGGTCCCCTTTGGAGTGCCAGGCATGCAATGACAGGAGTCGGCGGATAGAGAAAACAAAAAACTCAATGGGAAGCGACGTATGAAGGGGGGTAGGATGTCAAATATGGCGCAAGCGCACCTAGCTTGCCCCTCCCCCCCTCTTTTTTCCCCTGCCCCCCTCCCCCATCCCTGCTCCCCCCGTCCCCCGCCCCTCGCCACACCCTCTCCATGCCCCCGACCGGTTCCCCATGTTTCGACGGCCTCGTTTCCCCTACTGATCCGCCAACGTGCCGCTGGGCACGGAGTGGGAGCGTCACTCCCCGGGGCCAAAACCCTCGATCCTGATGCGCCTTCGGGGGCCGGGGGCCCACACTGCCAGCCTTCTGGGAAGTGTCGCGGTTCTCCCGGGGCTCTCGGGCCCAAGAGAGGGCCCCAAGACGGGCCAAGAGAGGTCCCAAGACAGGCCCCAAGACGGGCCCCAAGAGACTCCCAGGATTGTCCGAGAGGGCTTCGACATGCCTGAAGAACGCACCAAGACGCCCAAGACGGCCTCAAGACGGTCCATGAGGCCCACAAGACGTCCCAGCAGGCGCCCAAGAGTAAGCCAAAATCAGTGATTTTCCAATCAGGTGTTTGACTGTTTTTGGCGTTCTCGCCTTTTCGGCTTCCCGACGCTCCCAGACAACTCTAGAGGTCCCCAAGAACGCCCCAAGACGGTCCAAGAGGCCTCCAAGAAGGCCCAAGAGGCGCCCCAAGACGGCCTAAGAGGCGCCCAGGACGGCCCCAGAGGCTAAAGATGGCTCCAAGAGGGGGCCCTGATGGGGGACCCGAGCGGGCATTTCGAGCCCTCGGCCCCGAGGGGCCTCCAGGAGGTCCCAAGAGGCCCCCGAGAGGCCACCAAGAGGCCCCCAAGAGGCCTCCAACAGGCCTATAAGATGCCACGCGAGGCCCCCGATACCGTTCCGAAGAGACTCCAAGTGGCATCCCTGAGAACTCTGACCCACAACCCAGGCACGGTGGCGGGATGGGGCGAAGGCCATTAGATAGAAGGCCCAATTCGACACATCCTCCGCGGCCTAACTACCTTATCGGTCGCCGTAATCGAGCCGCAGTGCAGACCGCAACCGTGCAAGTCGAAGTCATTCCGCACATGTGTTCGGCAAGCCCACCGCCAACAAAAAAACGCAATCCTTCGGCACGCATTCTCAGCGGCCGCCGCACCAAGCCGCGCGAGCAGACCACAAACCTGCAAGCCAAAGTCCCTCCCGGGCACGTGCTCGGCAAATCCGAGCATGTGTGCGGAAGGCCACTGGCCAGCGCACCAAGACTCACCGCAGACCACACTCCTGCGAGTTCAGAAGCATGACGAAGACGAAAGTATGAGTGGGCACGCGGGCCAAGCGTCACTGCGCACTTCGACCTGCCAAATTAAAGTTGGACGCGTACAAAGCGCGAGCGGGGCCTTCCGCAAAGTGCCTTTTGTGAGAGAACCTGTCTTCGGCTCGGCTTCGGGGACACATTGCACGAAACTCCTGGCTGTCACCTGCAGGCGGCACAAAAATGGTCTCGGACTACTTAGCCGCACACGGGAATGCCCCGCACTTGCCACTAGGCAGGAATCTGCCCACTCGAAGAACAGCGTGCGGGCGCCCTGGTGGCTGCATCGAGGCCATTGCCTGTGTGCGAAAATCAAGTTGTGAAACGATTGCCCCTTGATGGCCCCCGCAGGAGCGGGAGGGGGGGAGGAGCAAGAGCAGATCGGGTAGGAGGATGGGACGAGGGAGCCCGGATGTGTGAGGAGGGCAACAGAAAACGTAGAGCTGAAAGTGAGTGCTAACAGTACCTACGAAGCGGGTTGGAACATCTGCTATGGTGGGTCACACAGGGTCCGCCACAGCACTGAGAACGACTCGGTCCCGAGCCACGCGCTTCCAAACACAGCTTGATGGCTTCAGAAACAATCCGATTCCAGCATGGTGGTGTTGACATCCACTGAAGGGAGCCTCTCGAAGCACTGGAGCGGGAACCCACACTCTCCACGCATATCTCGCCACATTTGACCCATTAAAAGGTAGAGTTCAAAAATGGCAACTCAAGCGCACCGCAAGACCCACCTCTTCGTGTTCCCGCTTCCCCTCTACTCTCTTCTCCTTCCAGCCACGTTCCAATCATGGTTTTTTACAATGTATCGTTACAACGTTATGGCGCACGACCGGCATGCGACACATTCTGACTGCCGCACTTCGTCGTTACGCAGAAGGCGGACGTGCTCACATTGAATTGTCCTCACACAGCGGGATCGGTCGCCGTCAGGAACTTGCAGGTGCCCTCCTCGCGGTCGACGGCGGTGACGACGGCATGCGCGCCTGCTGGGCAAGCGCCCGCTAGGTTGACGAGAGAGCCAAGCTCGGGCAATGCTGGCCTCAGGCCCTGCGCGAGCATCGAGCCCAACCATGGCTGGACTGGGCTGCCAGGGGTACCCCGCCTGGCTGCCGGGCCTCCCGAGGACTCGCCGTGCCCGTCCGACGAGGCGGCACCACTGGAACAGCCCGGCGCCTGCGTGGAGCACTCGCTCAGCCCATCGTCGAGGTCGTCGCTGAGGTCCGCCCACGCGAGCTTTCGGGGAGACCAAAGGGTCAGAATGAGGGAGCCGAGCGGTCCTTCGTTCCCTGGGTGCGTGGCAGAAAAGGGCGCTCCGTCTGGCGGATTCTGCTTGTTGTGTTGTTACGTTGTCGTTGTCCTCGCCCGCGACCCGCCCGCGACCCAACCACGCCCACGACCCACCCCGCGACCCAACCCGCGACCCACCCGCGCCCCATCCATGACCCACCCGCGAACCACCCCGCGCCCGCCCCCTCACTCTCATCTGCAATGGCGGGGGGTGCCACGTGCCGACATCGCCACTCCCCGGACCTCTCCCGAGGCGCGTTGGGACCAGGACGTGGTGACGAGGGCCTCACAGAGGCCCCCAAACAGCGAGAACAAGGCAAGCATGGCGTTGTGGATGCCACGTCAATGACACACTAACAGTCCTACCATTGAACTTTAAATGTGTTTAACATCTCAGAAGATGTTCTAAACATATGTTTAAAACCAGTTCAAATAATGATTAAGACATGTTTGGGACTTCTGGAAATTATTTGGCAACATGCTTCCTCTCCATTGATCGTCCTCCACAAACCTTAGGCACCTTCTCGCGCCGCCTTTGCTCGGGGACTGCCGCGGGTGCCTCGGTGCCCGTGCGCGTCAGGCCGGCGAGCAGCGGGCTGGCCATGATGGCGGTCTCCTGCTGGGGAGGCCAAGAGCCAAGAGGCACCAATACCAGGTGGCCACGTCCAGGTCGATCCTGCGTGCGAAACTCGGCGGGACCGCCCAGGTGCTTTCGTCACCAGAGGGGGGGGGGCCAGGAATCCAAAGGATTTCTCCAGGTGTCTCTTGGCCAGTGGTCGACGGCAAAAGCGCGAGCAGTCCGACGGGCAGGGTGGCGGGGGTCGGGGTCAGCACCTTCTTTAGTCAGCTGGTCCACAGCCGCGCTTCCCGCGCCCTGGGAATGCCCGTTGCGCCGCTCTGGGTGAAAGATAGCGGGGAACTAGCAGATGGGGGGAAACATCGACCTGGAATTGGCGATTCCAAGCCGGAGATGATACAGGCCCCCCCTTGTATGATACAAGCTGGAGAGATTTCAGGCATCACTGTTCGTGCCTGCGCAACAAGCGGATGGAGGCGTCCTCGCGGTCACGAAAGTCTGTGCACATGGGATTCCTTTTGATTGTCCACAGCAGGTGGATAGTGTGCCGAGGAATCGGCGATACATCGCCAATAGATCGGCGATAGGCCCCCCAATAGGGAATCCGCACGTTCCCGTTCCTGGGTGGGGTGGGGCTGTCAGACCCTTGTCGGCGATCAATGGGTGACTGGGGGTCGAATGATTCACCCTGTGTCTCTCCACCCCTATCGTTGTACCTGACATCCGAACCCTACCCCGCCACCAACCAACCATCGGGTCTCCTAAATCGATGGGAAGCCGGGGAAGGGTTCGGTTTTCGCCCCGTGTTCGACGATTTCCGAACCATAGCCCCGCCGCCCATCGAGATGCCTGAATCGTTGATCGGCGAGGGTGGTGTTTGGACTGCGCCGCCGAGATACTGCTACTTCTCGGACGTCTCCCGGGGTGCTTCCTGACTCGAATTAAATCGGGCATGGCCTCCTACAGGCGGAGATTTGTGCAAACAAACAAAATATCCCAAAGAAAATCAAGCATTGTAAACACATGTAAAACAACTCGTCCCCATAATACATCCTTGCTATTTTTGAACATTTCTCCTGTAGAGGGACGTGCCCGACTCAAGACAAGGATTCCAGGGCGGATCCAGCCCTGGCGCCCGGGGCCTCCCAGGAGGCCCAGAAGAGCAGAAGCGAGGGGAGGGTATCGCGGTATAGGAGGAGGAGGAGGAGGAGGAGGAGGAGGAGGAGGAGGAGAAAGAGGAGGAGGCCGAGCAGGAGGAGAAAGAGGAGGTTACCTGCTCCTCCTCTGCGCCGTCGACCTGCACCTTCCAGACCCTCCGCGCGACAGGTGCCGCCGCGATGCGGCCGCGTGGAGGGCGCAGAAGGTGCAGGGCCGGGGGAGCATCAGCACCTCGGGGAGGAGGAGGAGGAGGAGGAGGAGGAGGAGGAGGAGGAGGAGGAGGAGGAAGAAAGGGGAGGAGGAGGAGGAGGAGGAGGAAGGAAGGGGAGGAGGAGGAGGAGGAGGAGGAGGAGGAGGAGGAGGAGGAGGAGGAGGAGGAGGAGGAGGAGCTGAGCTCCTCGCCCGCGCCGCTCGGTGCGCTGGACAGCCCGGGGATCCGCCTGCGGCCTGCCGCGAGCCCGCGCGCGGAGACGCCGCGGCCTCCGGACCCGGGCGAGCCGCAGCGGGTGCGCAGGCGGCGGAGGCGAGGCACCCTCCGGGTGGGCGGCGGGAAGGCCACGCGCACGCCGCCCTGCAGCAAGATCGGCCTGCTTGGGTGTCCCAAAACCGTGTGGTGACAGACCCGGCGGTGACCTCGAAATCCGCAGAGACCTCACCGCACGGTCCGTCCCCACACGGTTTTGGGACCCTGGAGGCTCCAGTCGCCCGAGACAGCCTCGGAGAACGACCCAAGTCCCAAAACCGTGCGGTGACCCCGAATCCCCACCGACTCACCACACGGTGTGGTCACCACCCCGTTTAGGAGCCTCCGACCTGCACTCGTCCAGCACCTCGGTCTGGCTGGCCCGGGGAGCAGGAGGAACTTGGAGGTCGCTCGCGAGCGGGCCGCGGCATCGTTTCCGGGGCCGATCAGTAGCGGCACTTGCGATCCCCCATCCGCAAGAAGCTCGGATCGTAGGTTTGACTTGACCTGACCGATGATTGGGCTGCTTATATGCTTGCTAATACCTAGGATTACTATCCCCTCCCACGTCAGCCCAGAACACACAAATCTTGTTCGCTGCTCCTCAGCGAGTTTCAAAGCAACGATCAGAATGAGCACCCCGACAAGCGAGGTCGCTTAGTAAACGTGCCCAAGGAAGGAGTCGGACAGAACAAGGCTGTGCAGTAAACGCATTCGCAAACGCCGCAGAGGAACGAACAATGACATAAACATACAAACTCGGAGATCCGTGCGGATTTCTCGGATCGGGGCTGGACCCCCCTGGCGGCGCGCGCGGACATCCGAGCTTTCATGTTTATGTCACTATTCGTTCCCCTAATCATGGGGATTGGGGTGGCTACTTCCTCTCTTGATGACTGGTCGCTAGATCACGCCAACCGATCACGTGATCTGATCGCAACCCTGATCACGATGGCTGCCGGGCCGACGACGGATCGATCGCGCATTCAGGCTCTGACGGTCGCGTAATCAAGACGGGCCAGTCACGCGAGCGGCGATCACGTGATCCTCCGATCACCGCAATATGTGATCTCCGACGGCGTGAACAGCAGACACTGAGTCCAGCACGCTGTCGTGCATGAGCGGGCTGTTACCTTAGCTGCCCCGACACGCAACACGCAACAAGGAGCCTGTCCGCAGGAAACTCGACACGCAGACTGAAACAACGTGGGTCCGGCGCGACACGTTCGCTAGATCATGGGCGAGCGCGTGCCGAGCCAACACGCAGCGTATCACCGCGGACGTTCTGCACACAGTTCGTGCTGCGTTTCAACACGGGTGTATCAGTGCAGCTGAGGCTACTGCGGTAGCGGTCGATGTGCTCATCGAGGCCTTGGGAGAGGCTCCAGTTCGCGACGAGCTGCCCGTCGCCCTGCTCGCCCCAGCAGAGGCCGTCGAGCTCGGCCAGGAGGCGCTCGGCGTGCCGCTGCATCGTGAGGTTGACAAAGGCATATCCGAAATTCTGGAGTTTGGCGAAGTCGATCGGCAGGTCCGCCACCCCCGCATGCAGAGAGCCTCCTCATCATCATCATCCTCATCGTTTTCATATTCCTCTTCCTCCTCCTCCTCCTCCTCCTCCTCCTCTGCCTCGTCCCTCAAGTAACATTGGGGCTCTGGCCATTTTGGCAACGCCCCGCTCCTGTGCCTGCACGAGGTACTTGAGGCACTACGTTTTTATCCCTTTCCTTCCAGGTCTCAGGGATTGAACGTCGACCAAAACAGGAGTTTGGATGATGGCCCGCCTCTGGTCCCGCTGTTCCTGCCAGCGTTGTGAATACAACGACATTTTGGAATCACGAGACAGAGTCTGCCTAGGATGTAATCGGAAGGTCAAGCTGCGTAAACCTCGCCCTGGTTCAGCCGCCGCCCGTGCGCAGTCGCAGGCGCCAGAGCAGCCCCCCCCCCCGCGGGCGCGGGCCAAGGCGGGGCCGCTCCCACCGGCGCGCAGGGCGGCAACGGCAAGGGGAAGGACATCCCCAAAACCAAGGCAGAGAAGCTGCAGGCCGCCTCGTCGCTCGACGTAGCCGAATTACTCCGCATGGCGGTGAAGGGCACCCAGGATGCAGATCTTCGGCAGGTGCTCGAGGCGCAGGTGAAGCGCCTAGGCGGCACTGCTCCCACCGTGTCTACGGGGCCTGCGGAGGCACTCAAGAAGGTGGTGGGCATGTTCAAGGATGCTGAGCACAAGCACACGCAGGCTGCGGCGCAGGTGGTGCGCCTTGAGGCCAACTTGGCCCAGGCTCGAACTCGCGAGCAGGCGGCCGCTTTGACGCTGGCGCAGGCCGAGAGGGCCAAGCGCGCGGCGGCCGAGGCCATGGCAGTAGCTGAAGGCGTGGTGCTTCGCCCCGAGGGAGCCACCCAGCCAAAGTTTGCAGCCAGCTGGGACAAGGAGCTCTTCGACGGCATCGATGACTTGGATTGCTCGGGCGCTGAGAGGACCGAGCTCAAGAAGATAAAGTTCGATCTAGAGCAGCTCCAGCAGGTCATGGAGGGCAAGGAGGCCGAGGTGTCGACGATGCTCTCCAAGGCGCAGGAGATGCAGGATCGGTTCCGCAAGAAGCGGAAGACCGAGCCTGAGGAGGCGCCGCCCGCGGGGGGATTGTCAGGCAGCGGCCCAGGCGCAGGCAAAGGCGGCTCGCCAGGTCCTGTGCAGGGCGCACCCCCCCCCCCCCCCGCGGCGGCGGCAGCGGACGCCAGCATGGGCAGTGTTGGCGGCGAAGCCGATGCAGCCCGACTGCCAGCTGGCTGCGACTCCGAGGATGATGCGGAGCTCCTGGCAGCGGCAGCGCGTCTCTCTTCGGCCAGGCTCGCGGCGCAGGCGCAGGCGCTCAAGGAGCAGTCGGCCAACGCCAAGGGCGCGACGGGCAAAGGCAAGGGAGCTCCAGCTAAAGGGGGCGAAGCTGTAGCGGCGGCAGCTGCTGTCGATGACCCCGATCTGTAACTAGCTACCTCATCGAGTGCAGCGCCGAGCTCGTCAGTCAATATGGGAGAGACTGCAAGCGGCCAGGCGCACACATGGGAGCACCATGACCAGGACCTGGTACAACTATTCTTCTCCAATATCACATATATTGGAGACAAATCGTGGGGTTATCTTGTTGATAACAATTTTGATTTTGGAACCGCTGTCGAGGCGCATGAGTCTAGCGCTGATTTGCCCACTTGGGACAAGAAGGCGCGCGCCGCTGGATATCGTCTCTTGGGCAATGGAGCGCGCGCTCGTCAGCGTAGAGTTTCTCGAGCTCAGCGAGCCCATGCGAACGAAGGTGGCGAGTGGGTTCTTGCCAAGGGTCATCTTCAGATGCCGACGTTGCTCTTAGATTCTGGAGGTCGCCCACTTCGAGCTCATGGGCATCGTGAGTTGGAC